TGGAGCATAACCCCCTGCTCCTTAAGTACGTGCTCTGCATAGTGACTTCCAAAGACTACTGTATGGGAAAAGGGAGAAAAGAGTAACTTTACACTGGAGAAACTTGACAAACACTCCCTCACTCAGGTGATCAAGACCAACAAAAAGTCATCATACTGATAGTATGAATCCTTGATATCTATGAGGAAAATGGCACTTAACCTCTGTGATCTTCCTCCTGCAAACAACCTCAGTCTAATCATGAGAAAAACATCAGTCAAATCTTAGTGGAGGAACATTCTATGCTATACTGGCCTCCTCAAAATAGTTAAGATCATTTAAAATGAGGAAGAGAGCCAGGCACTCTGGCTTGTGCCTGTAATCCCAGCACTTTGGAGGGCCGAGGAGGGTGGATCACCTGAGGTCAGGAGTTGAAGACCAGCCTGGCCAACATGGTGAAACCCCGTCTCTACTAAAAATACAAAAATTAGCTGGGCGTGGTGGTTGGTGCCTGTAATCCCAGCTACTTGGGAGGCTGAGGCAGGAGATTCGCTTGAACCTGGGAGGCAGAGATTGCAGTGAGCTGAGACCACGCCATTGTACTCCAGCCTAAGCAACAAAAGAAAACTCCATCTCAAAACAAAAACAACAACAAAAAAAAAAAAAAAAAGGAAGAAACTGTCATAGCCAAGAGTAGCCTAAGTAGAAATGATGACTAAATGCAATGTGTTCTCCTGCTTAGAATGCTAGAACAGAAAAAGGAAGAAAAGCTTAAAAACCTAAGAACATTGGGAATAAAGTGTAAGCTTTAGCTAATAACAATGTACCAATACTTGTTCATTAATTGTAACAAATGTACCATATAATATAAGATGTTTTCAGTAGTAGGGGAAACTAGGTGTAGGGTATATGGGAATTCTCTGTATTACTTTTATAATTATTCTGTAAATCTAAAACTGTTCTAAAATAAATTGTATATTTTATAATAGACAGAGAATGAAGTTGAGTACTCAAATTACTTCTAAATGGCCGGGCGCAGTGGCTCACACCCATAATCCCAGCACTTTGGGAGGAGGCCAAGGCAGGCGGATCATGAGGTCAGATTGAGACCATCCTGGCTAACATGGTGAAACCCTATCTCTACTAAAAATACAAAAAAATTAGCCAGGCATGGTGGCGGGCACCTGTAGTCCCAGCTACTCGGGAGGCTGAGGCAGGAGAATGGCGTGAACCCGGGAGGCAGAGGTTGCAGTGAGCCAAGATTGTGCCACTGCACTCCAGCCTGGGCAATAGAGCAAGACTCCATCTCAAAAAAACAAAAAACAAAAAAAAACCAAATTATTTCTAAATAGTCATTCCTGTGTATCCACAGAGCCAGATTTATTATGATTTGAGTAATGTTATTACATGGAGTCATTTACATCTATGATATTAGATCCATGTTTTACAAAAGAACACACGTAGAGCCCAGACCACTGTTTCCTGACATGCTAGGCTAAAACTCAGATTCGAGACTCAGAATCATTTTGGTCCTCTTCAACATTTTACTGCATCTAATTGCACAACTCTACTTGTTGGTTCTCCTGAACTCTAGAGCCAGTAACAATGACCCCAAAGTAATTCTCATGATTTTGTCTGAGGTACAATTTAAATTCTCAGATGACTCCGAATCTGCAGAAATATTAATATAAAGAGAAAAATAATAAGGTTATGTGGTGTATAGGAAAAACTGTAAATTTTACATGTGAAAAAGATTTCTGCTTATTAAAAAATACCAAAGAGGCCAAAAGATTAGGAAAAGTTACTGAAACAACAACACATGACAAACACTAACCTTACTATATAAAGAAATATATTTATTTCTTAAGTATATAAAGAAGTTTGTAATCAGTAAAAATGACCAACAATGTGATGGAGAAACAGAAGAGTTTATAGTAACATGAACATGCCTGTTAAACATTTGAACAAATGATCAGTTTCTCTCATAACATAGAAATAGAAATGAAATTGCAAATTGTTCTTCTGTCTTGTTTGATCAAAAGTTTGATAAAACATTTAATAGCATACGTATTCCAGAAAAGATGTTTCCTGCTCTATCTCCCAACACATACAGTGTTACTATCACAATATAGTGTGAAACCGTCAAGGCAAAAATCTTTAATCTCTTTGCCCTGATGATATCTGTCTCTACAATATCCAGTACTCCCACGTCATTCCTCAACCCAGGGCTCTAACTTCAATAAGATTTATACACCCATTTTCTGTTCCCATCTACCACACTAAATTCTTGTGATCTTTCTACTCTGCACTCTGAAATCCACAGTACCTTATTGGCATAATGCCCCAACCTTTTAAAATAGCATTCTTAATTTGCCTTTTATTAATTCTTAATTTTAAAAAATTTTTATAGGTTTAGGAAGTTACAAGGGCAGCTGTGTTACATACATATATAGTGTAGTGGGGAAAGTGTTGGCTTTTAATGTACCCATTACCTAAATAACGTACATTGTACTCAATAGGAAGTTTTTTTTGTCGTTGTTGTTTTCTTTGAAATGGAGTCTCGCTCTATTGCCCCCTGGATGGAGGGCAAGGACATAATCTTGGCTCACTGCAACCTCCACCTCCCACATTCAAGCAATTTGCTCTGTTGCCCAGGCTGGAGTGCAATGGCACTATCTCAGCTCACTGCAACCTCCGCTTCTCAGGTTCAAGCAATTCTCCTACCTCAGCCTCCCAAGTAGCTGGGACTACAGGCGCCCGCCACCACGCCCAGCCAGTTTTTCTATTTTTAGTAGAGACGGGGTTTCACCATGTCAGCCAGGCTGGTCTCAAACTCCTGACCTCAGGTGATCTGCGCACCTTGGCCTCACGAAGTGCTGGGATTACAGGCGTGAGCCACCATGCCTGGCTTGTTTTTTAATTCTGTTTATGTGATGAATCATGTATTGAGTTGCATATGTTGAGCCATCCTTACACCCCTGAAATAAAATCCACTCGACTGTGCTGTTATTATTTTTACATACTGTTTGATTTGGTTTGCTAGTATTTTGCTGAAGGTTTTGATGTCTATGTTCATCAGGGATACTGGCTTGTAGTTATTTTGTGTGTTTTACCCTTGCCTGGCTTCAGTACCAGGATGACACTGGCTTTGCAAAATGAGTTAGGGAGGATTCCTTCCTATAATTTTTGGAATAGTTTCAATAGTGCTAGTACTAGTTCTTCCTTGCCTGTCTAGTAGAATTCAGCTGTGAATCTGTCTGGTCCTGGGCTTTTTGTTGTTGCAAGATTTTTTCTATTACTGATTCAATTTCAATACTCATTAGTGGTCTGTTGAGGATTCCTAGTTCTCCCTGGTTCAATCTTGGAAGGTTATGTGTTTCCAGGAATTTATCCACTTCCTCTAGGTTTTCTAATATGTGCATATAGTCTGCTGATTTTTTATATGTCTGTGTTATCAGTTCTAATGTCACCTTATTATTTCTGATTGTATTTATTTGAACCTTCTTTTTTTCTTGGTTAATCTAGCTAGTGGTGTCAGTTTTACCTCTGCAAAGAAGCAACTTTTTCTTTTATTGATCTTTTGCATTCTTTTGTTCTCAGTCTCATTTTCGCCTGCTCTGATATTTGTTATTGCTTTTCTTCTGCTAGCTTTGAGTTGGGTTTGTTTTGTTTTTTTCTAGTTCCTTGAAATGTGACATTAGGCTATTCATTTGAGATTTTCCTATCTTTTTGGTATAGGCATTTAATGCTATAAAATCCTCTCTTAGCACTGCTTTTGCTATATCTCAGATGTTTTCTTTTTTCTTTTTTTTTTTTTTGAGACGGAGTCTCGCTCTGTCACCCAGGCTGGAGTGCGGTGGCCTGATCTCTGCTCACTGCAAGCTCCGCCTCCCGGGTTTACGCCATTCTCCTGGCTCAGCCTCCCGAGTAGCTGGGACTACAGGCGCTCGCCACCTCGCCCGGCTAGTTTTTTGTACTTTTTAGTAGAGACGGGGTTTCACCGTGTTAGCCAGGATGGTCTCGATCTCCTGACCTCGTGATCCGCCCGTCTCGGCCTCCCAAAGTGCTGGGATTACAGGCTTGAGCCACCGCGCCTGGCCATCTCAGATGTTTTCATGTGTTGTGTCTCTATTTTCATTTATTTCAAAAAATTTTAAGTTTCCACCTTAGTTTCATCATTGACCCAACAATCATTCAGGAGGAAGCTGTTTAAATTCCATGTAACTGTATAGTTTTGAGAGTTCCTCTTGGTATTGATATCTACTTTTATTCCACTGTGGTCAGAGAAGATATTAGATATGATTTTGTTTTTTTTAAATTTATTGATACTTGCTTTGTGGTCCAGCATATGACTTATTTTTGAGAATGTTCCATGCACAGAAGAGAAGAGTATATATTCTGTGATTGTTGGGTAGAATGTTCTTCAGATGTCTGTTAGGTTCGTTTGGTCTAGAGTCCAATTTAAGTCCAGAGTTTCTTTGTTGATTTCTGTCCCAGTGATCTGTCTAGTGCTGTCAATGGAGTGCTGAAGTCCCCTGCTATTGTTGTATTGCTGTCTATCTCTTTTCTTAGGTCTAGTAGTATTTGTGTTATGGATCTGGGTGTTGCAATGTTGGGTGCATACATATTTAGGATTGTTTTATCTTGTTGAATTTATCCTTTATCATTATAAATGACCTTCTTTGTCCTTTTTAATTTTTGTTGGTATAAAGTCTGTTTTGGCCATCACGGTGGCTCATGTCTGTAATCCCAGCACTTTGGGAGGCTGAGGCGGGCAGATCACTTGAGGTCAGGAGTTCATGACCAGCCTGGCCAACATGGTGAAACCCCATCTCTACTAACAATACAAAAAAAAAAAAAATTAGCCGGGCATGGTGGCACATGCCTGTAATCCCAGCTACTTGGGAGGCTGAGGCACGAGAATCACTTGAACTCAGGAGCCGGAGGTTGCAGTGAGCTGAGACTGCACTACTGCACTCCAGCCTGGGCAACAGAGCAAGACTCTGTCTCAAAATAAAGTAAAATAAAATAAAATAAAATAAAAATATATTTGACTAACAATTTATATGTAAAAGGAAATTACAAATATATTAGACAAAATCATTCTAACAGGGTATTATGGGTTGAACTGTGTCCTCTAAAAAGATATGCTGAAGACCTAACCCCTGGTACCGGTAAATGTGACCTTACTGGGAAATAGGGTCTTGACAGATGTAATCAAGTTAAGATGAGGTTACCAGGTAACCCCAATCTAACCTGACTGGTGTCCAAATAAAAGAAAAGACATACACAGAGATACACAGGGAGAATGCAATGTGAAGATGGAGGCAGACATTGGAATGATGTATGTAAAAGCCAAGGAATGCCAAGGACTGCCAGCTGTTAACAGAGGTTAGGAAAAAGGCATAGGACAGATCCTCGCTCAGAGACCTCAGAAGGAACCCAAACTGTCAGCACCCTTGATTTTAGATTTCCAGGCTCTAAACTGTAAGAGAATAAATTTATCTTGTTTTAAGTCACCAAGTTTTTGGTACTTGGTACTTTGTTATTGTATCCTTTAAAAACTATTATGTAGGAGAACCTTTGATAATGTGTATCCTAATTTGTTCTCATTACCTGTTTTTAAAAAAATATATATTATAAAGGTTAACAAAACGGTCTTACTTTGCTTTCTGTCATTCAACCAGTATGAATTCCCTCATGGCGAATGAGGTCAGAGCGACTACCAAAAGCCTTTCCACATTCCTTACAGTCATAGGGCTTTTCACCAGTGTGAATTCTCTGATGTCGAGTAAGGTTTGAGCCTTTATTAAAGGCCTTCCCACATTCATTACATTCATATGGTTTTTCATCTGTATGGATTCTCTGATGTTGAATAAGTTCTGAGCTCTGAATAAAGGCCTTTCTACATTCTTCACATTCATAGAGCTTCTGCCCAGCATGAATTCTGTGATGGTTAGTAAGTGTTGAGGCACTATTAAAGGCCTTCCCACACTGCTTACATTCATAAGGTTTCTCACCAGTATGCATTCTCTGATGTTGAATAAGCCTTGAGTGTTGAGTAAAGGCTTTCCCACATTCTTTACATTCATAAGGTTTCTCACCAGTATGAATTCTCAGATGTAGAAAAAGTTGTGAACTTTTAGTAAAGGCTTTTCCACATACTTTGCATTCATAGGGTTTCTCACCAGTGTGAATTCTCTGATGATCATTAAGGTTTGAGCAATACTTAAAGGCTTTTCCGCATTCCTTACATTCATAGGGTTTCTCACCAGTGTGAATCCTCTGATGCTGAGAAAAAGATGAACTACAACTAAAAGCCTTGCCACATTCCTTACATTCATAGGGTTTTTTACCAGTGTGAATCCTCTGATGTCGAGTAACGAGTAAGCCACGACTAAAGGACTTCCCACACTCCTTAGATTCATAGGGTTTTTCATCAAAATGAATTCTCTGATGTTGAATAAATTGTGATTTCTGATTAAAAGTCTTTCCACATATCTTACATTCCCATGGTTTCTCTTCACTCATAGTTTTTTGAGGTTGAGTAAGAAATGTGGGCTGAATAAAAGTAGTTATGTCTTCATGGGTAAGTATTACTTGACTGAAATGTCTCTTCTTTAGAGATAATATCTTGGTCTCACACATTGATTCCGGATCTGAAAGAAAATACAAAGGCAAATACATTTTCCTATTCTGAGCGAGTTAAAACTTCTAAAAATGAAATGGGAGGATTAAACTGAAAAGAATATCTGAGAAATTACACATTTAGTTTTCAAAGGTGGCTAGGCAATCTGTAAAATTGACAAGAAAAGCATAGACGTTAGGAGAGGTAATAAAAGAAGCTGAGGATATGGATTTGGAAAGTAGATGACCTCTATGATCCTCAAATTTTGGTCTGAACCACAGTCACCTTAAGCCTTGGTGAATACACAGTGTTCAGCACCATCTTCCATATTATAGAGAGATTCAAATTTTTTATTTTTATTTTTCTTTGCCCCCACCCCAGATCTCCTACAGACGCTGCCTAAGACCCAGCTCTGTGTCTCCTCATCATATAGCTCGTGGCGCTCCGACTGCAAGGCCATTAGCATGGCCTGGCAGGGGTTCAGCTGGAGGGCCATGGAGGAGGACAGGCCAGCAGGATGCCACCTCTGCTCCAGGGCATGCACTGTGAGTAAGAGATTCTAATTATATATACATGTATAAACATATAGTCACATACACAGAGCATGATACTGTATGTTTTGCAATTTGTAGATAATTGTCAGACCTCATCAAAGGACTATTAAGAATAATAAATGTGTTGAAAGGCTTAAATGGCAGGGGTGGGTGGAGTTCAGTGACTGTGCAAGGGTATACTGGCAAATCACTAGCCTCCAACAAATGTAATATGCTGAACACAACTGGTGGGAAGAGTAGACAGGTAAATCTCTTCTGTGCATAAAGCATGATATGGGTTAGGGACTCACTGAAAATAATTTGCTCTGGAATTCTGTGATGTTGACCTTGGGAGAAAGAAATGAATCATTCAAGTCATAGCAGTGACTGAGAAGGAAGACAGCTCAAGTTTGAGACACAAGAGAGTTAAGACAGGATGAAATGTACTCTATGAGAAGAAAGGAAGTCCATGTCAACATATAAACTGTGAGCCCCAGTTCTATGCTTTAAGGCAATTACTTAACCTCTGAGCCCTCTGTTCCTTGTTTATTGAAATGGGAATGACACTTAACTCATGATTGCTAAAAAGATGAAGAATAATGTATGTAAATAATCTGATGTAAAGTAAGCACTCAGTATTGGTAGCTATTATTATGAAAGAATGCCATAGCAAAAACAGATACTGAGCAAATGAAGTGGCTTGAAGACATCAAAATAAAGCCAGCTAGACTATCTCAAGTCCTCCCTCCACATGATCATTGGCCAAACTTAGTCTGGGTGAGTCCCTAAAAATCTCTTAAAGTTGTCCTTATTTAATTATTGAATCCCCTCTTTCCTAGACCACTACAGGAATCTCCTAATGGTCTCCCCAGTATGTTCCAGCACCCTCTAATCCATTCAGCAACTGGTGTGGTATTTTGTCTCGCTTTGCCCTACTGAAAATCTAAACTCCTTGGTAATTACCAAGAAGACTCCAATAATGAGGCTCTTACCTACCTCTTCAACCTTGTGTTATACTCCACTTCCACTTGCTCAAGAAGCCTCAGTCCGTCAAGCACATCAAGTTCTCCCTGCCTCTCAGGGCCTTTCCACACACATCTCCCCTTTACCTGGCATACCCCTCATCCTATCACCATTGTTGGCCATCATAATTGCTGCTCATCATTTGAGCCTCTGCTCAAACAGCATATCTCTAGAAGGCCATAACTGATCTTCAGTCTAAATTATGGTCTTCCTGTTATTAGGCCTCAGATCTTCCTGCTATTTCTTATTAATAGCACTTATTATTTGTAATATTATATAATCTGCATAGATCCAACAAAATCAAGAAATGTTTTATGTTTTCACTAATATATACTCAGCTCCTGGCAAACTACCTAAAGAATTACTGAGGCGGCCGGGCGCGGTGGCTCAAGCCTGTAATCCCAGCACTTTGGGAGGCCGAGACGGGCGGATCATGAGGTCAGGAGATCGAGACCATCTTGGCTAACACAGTGAAACCCCGTCTCTACTAAAAAATACAAAAAACTAGCCGGGCGAGGTGGCGGGTGCCTGTAGTCCCAGCTACTCGGGAGGCTGAGGCAGGAGAATGGCGCAAACCCAGGAGGCGGAGCTTGCAGTGAGCTGAGATCCGGCCACTGCACTCCAGCCCGGGCGACAGCGCGAGACTCCGTCTCAAAAAAAAAAAAGAATTACTGAGGCAATAAATGAGTCTAGATTTATTGTTCTCAAGAATACATTTTTAGAGTGGAGTTACAAGATGGATGACTAGAGGCACCCAGCATTTACCTCCTCCACAAAGAAGGACCAAAACAGCGAGTAGATAATCACACACCAAACTAAGCATCTATGACAGAGCACTGGAATTCAGCAGGGAAGTAACAGGGAACCTCTGAGGCACAAAGAGAGAAGCAAAGCAGTTGGCCTGGCCAGGATCAGCTTGGAGCCCAGGGGAAAGGTAAGGGAGACCACATTCCCACTGTGGACTCCTGCAATCCTAGCCACAAAACAGCCCCTCAGCCCTCATGGCCCTAAGACTAGTAAAGGGAGCTGCCCAGTGTCTACACAATACTGTTCTAGATAGAGAGTTCATGCTGGGTCCCTCCCCAAACCCAAGCAACTGCAGCATGGTGTCATTTTGGGAGCCCAGCTCCCAACAGACTACATCCTGCCCAGGGACTCAACAGTTCTTCCATCTCTACATCCATGGAGCTCTGCTGGCTTCTCCCCATGTCCATGTAGAGGGTTACAGCACTGCAATGATGGCTAGAACCATTGGTGTGGCTAGGTCCCCAGTACTCCAGTCCAGCACTCAGAGTCCTACACCCTGGGGAATGAGCAGTACAACAGAGTTGGAAGCTGCCTTTGGGACAGCGGGAGCTGAAGTGTGTGCTCCCCAGAGCCTGAGAGTCACCTGCCTGGGGCCACTGCCACTGACAGGAACACCACTACTTCCAAGCAGCTGGGTCCCTATGCATCTGCAAGTGCCTTCAGGGGCCTTAAGACTAGTGCTGGGCAGCATCAAAGGGCCTAACATCAAGCCTACCTGGCCCACCAAAGCTGCTGCCTCCACACATCATCTGAGGGTTTGGGAATCGACTGACCTTGCTGGCCATTGCTGGTGCCCACATGCACCAACCATCCCTGCAAATGAGGAAAGGCAGAGCCAATGTGCCACCAAGGTCCAAGCATGCTGTCTGGGGGCATGGGAATTGACTTACCCTACCCACCATAGCCTGAATCCACATGCACCACTCGGAGGGTGAGAAGACAGGGTTTCCATGCCTGGTATTGCCCCTGCCACTGCCTATATGCAATGTCCAGGGGTATGGGGATGAATTCACTCCTCACACTCCCACCAATGCCTGAACATGTCTTCTGGGGGCCTAATTATGGGCTTTCTTAGCCTGCCAGTGCCCACCATCTATCGTTTGGGAGCCCAGGGATTGACTCAGCCCACCCACCATCACTAGCATCCATACACCCCTGCCAGTGACCCGAGGACAGGCCAGCCTAGCCTGCTGCCAACACCACTGCAAGCATCAAAATGTACACACCACCTAGAGGAACAGAGACTGGCCCATTCAGCTTGCCATTGCCACTGCTGGTGCCTGCATATGTTGCTTCAAAGCCCAAAGAGTTGGCTAACTAATGTTATTGTCATAATCAATGCCATACATGCCAACAAGGAGCCCAAGGACCTGCCTTCCTTCCTGGCCCACTGCTGCTACTGCCAGCACCTGAGCAAGCAATCTGGAGACCCAGGGATCAACCTTCATGGAGCAGCTACCAAGTGTCTGAATAAACCAGCTTGGGCCCCATGATCCAGCATGCCCAGGCTATCACCAACACCACTGGGGCCTACAGACCAGCATAACTGGCATCCCTATCCCAGAAAAGCCTCATCACAGCTTCCACTAACAACCAAACCCTAAGTCACTGAGGAACTCACAGACACTGCTGCCACTGATTGCAGCCAAAGAAATCATGTGGAGATTATACCACTGCATCCACCTAGAACAAAGCCAAAACAACCTACCCAACCAACACTATAAATACATGTACAGGAAAAAGGTTTTCCTTATGAAAACAAATCCATAAAATTGGAAAAAATGACCAGAACAAGAAATACATAGATATCAATGTAAGGATAAAAGAAACATGAGAAAGCATGGAACCATGACATCTCCAAAGTAACACAATTAATTCTCCAGCAACAGATTCCAACAAACAATAAATCTATCAAGTACCTGAAAAAGAATTCAAAATAATGATATTAAAGAAGCTCAGTGGGACCCAATAGAACATGGATAAATACCAAAAGAATCAGAAAAACAATTCATGATCTGAATGAGAAATTCAGCAGATAGATATCACGAAAAAGAACCAAACAGAAATCCTGAAGCTGACAAATTTCAATTAATGAAATAAACACAATTGAGAGAGCTTCAACAATAGACTAGATTAAGCAGAAGAAAGAATTTCTGAACTTGAAGACAGGTTTTTAAAAATAATCCAGGAAGACAAAAGTAAAAAATAATAAATAATTTTTAAAACTGAAGAAAGCTTAGGTGACATATGGGACATCATAAAGCAACCAAATATTCAAATTTTGGGTATTCTAGAAGGAGAAGAGATGGGCAAAGGCATAAAAACCTATTTAACAAAATAATAACTGAAAACTTTCCAAGTCTTGTAAGCAATACAGACATCCTGATACAGAAGGCTCAATGATGCCCAAATAGATTCAATCCAAAAAGGTCTTCTAAGGTCCATTACAGTCAAACTGTCAAAAGTCAAAGACAAAGAGAATTCTAAAAAAAGCAAGAGAAAAGCATCAAGTCACATATAAGAGAACCCTCAGGCATCAAGTCACATATAAGAGAACCCTCATCAGACTAGTAGCAGATACCTTGGCAGAAACCTTCCATGCCAGGAAAGAATGGGATGAGATATTCAAAGTGCTAAAAGAAAAAGCACTGTCGGCCAAGAATACTAT